GAATGTAATTGTTATAGTTACCATTACTCATGTGCAGCACCTTGGCCATCTTCTTCATGGTAGCGTCTAGTTTGGAGTCTGTCGTTTCCAGCTCATTCCCGAATTCATCCAACATTCTGTAAAAGATGTATCTTGAAGTCTCGTAATAAAATAAAAGCATAATAAACAAAAGAAAGAGATGACACAAATAACGAAAAAAAAATGAGAAAATTTTATTTACACAGCTTGTTCATCTAATTCACTGTTGATTTGCCTGGATACTGTTTTTAATGTGCCAACTGTTTCTCCAATCATATCTAATTGTTCATCCTGCTGCATTATCATGGTGTTCTGTTGCTGCATTGAATCACTTAGGAATTGCCTATTTGGACTATCAATTTCATTTTCTAGCTTGCTGTATTTAGTGGTGCCATGATTGGTAGGTACTCGCGCCGGGCTGTTGTCCAAAAGCGGCTGAACATATATATACATAACAGATATAATTATTGTAGATATATAACGTATGATTAATGTTGCAGAAATAATTGTAAAATTATATTTATTTATATATTTATATTTGTATATATTTAACACACATTCAGAGATTTAATAATAAAATACACAGATAAAAAGTAATAAGGAAAAAAGTAAGTTAATAAAGGAACAGATAAGTTTAATTCTCAATCGCAAAATTTATAAAATTTATCATAGATTATAAATAATATATATATAAAAGATAAAAATCATATTTCTCGAGATTTCCTAGATATGTAATCGTCTTTTAGATAAATGTTAGAGAGTGTATATAACTTAGTTTTTCTTTCTCTCTCAAGTTTCAGAAGGAAAAATTTTTTTGAATACCGTGTATACCATTGTCGTTTCCGAGAATTGATGAATAGATTTGTCAATTTTACAACGTGTGAATTGTCAAAATAACACTACAATCGACCGACATGATAAATCACTCCTTTCAGGTTAAGGATCACCGAACAAGCTGAAATGTCATAGACCAATCGCGGAATAAGATCGTTCAATAATGATACAATGAGTGAACGAGCTACCTATAGATGTCACTGTCCTCGCTAACCTTTTTTTGTGCAGCACATTTCAAACGAGATCTTTCTATACAACACAAGACGAGCGAATGTTGCAAGTTAATAATAATGCGAAAAGCAAATCACGTTTTATATTCATTATTCACTAAAATTATTCTCTTAAATCCTTGAAAAATTCATACAAAATTAGGTAATTTCCGAAATATGCTTTTTATCTTTATACTCGTTTTTATTCTCTTGCTTATATTTTTTTAGTTTCTCTCATACGTTGTTATTTTGATTTAGATTAGATATATATATTGTATAATTTAACACTTTTTAGCACGCAGTATAGATACTATATATTATATAATGAAATGTATAATTAAAGTATGACAAAATACGATATGTACAAACCTGTCTTGCCGTGTTGTCACGATCCCGGCTTCTGCTCAAGTTCAATTTGTCCTTCATGATCTGTGGAATGTTTAATAAATGATTAATATATAAATATCAAGTTAGTATTAATTTTGCGAATGACAATAAGGTTTTGTGAATATATCTCACGAGAAACATTGCATTTTTAAAATTAAAACAGCAGATATGATGATATAATCTCAGTTACAATAATGCGTAATTATTTCATAATAAACTATACTTAATTAAATTACCTTGACTTCTTCTCGTGCTTGCTCGATGAAACTTCGTTGAACGGTCAATTCCTTGTTGTCGATCTTAAACTTTGTCGGATTCTTCTCAACGATACGTATATATGCGTTAAGTACATTATAAACAAATTGAATTAAAAACCGTTTCTCAATCTTATCAAAAAAAATCATTTTTCATACAATTTTTTCAAATTCACATATTTCAATTTATATTCAATTCGAGTTCGATATTCAAGTTTTAATTTTAAACCCAAACTCATACAAATTAAAATTCAAAATTCAAGTGCAACATCAAATTTAGAGACTCGAGTATGTATCCAGATTTAAAATCGAATACAAATTCATACAGAATTTGATTGAAATTTTTCAGATTATGGAAAAGGATATAGATTGTGTCCTCGAGGTCGTCAAGGTCCCACTCGATGGAGCGTAGAGCTTTTCGCAGTTCAGTGGTAGTCCAGTCGAGCTCGTCCGTGCGAGAGATCGGCGGTGCCGTGGCTGAACC